TATAAAAAAGGCACAGGGAGGCAATATTACGGCGGTGGGAAAGTGACTGAAGACAAGACACCAATAATATTGCCGATTCTTCCTTGGATCTTACGAAGGAGCTCAAGATAAATAGCAGGAGTAGCAGACCATATGTGACAGCAATATTCTAAGAACGGACGAATGGTAGACTTATAGGTATATAAGATCGATTCAGGAGAGGAAAATTGTCTCCACAACACACTTAACCAACGTTCGCCGCAGCTGACCTAGCAATGGATTCAATAGTCTTTATATATAGATAGATAGATAGATAGAGAGAGTGTGTGTGTGTGTGTGTGTGCGTGTGTGTTTTAGGTCATCAATCAGATATAGAGCGTATGTAAATACTTCTATTTACATATACTATCTCTGATATTGAACACTTTTATCCATAAATATAGCATTCCTTAAAACACACACACACACACACACACACACACACATATATATATATATATATATATATATATATATATATAATAAAGCGGGGTGGAAGCACATTGAAGCAATGGATCGCGGTTCGGATTGAGGAATGATTACATTGGGAAAGGTATGAATCCATCTCTTCTTCACTCCCCCCGCCCAACCAGTCATGGATAAATAGCAGGATAGACTGTGTCTTATTGCCTTGGGTGACCTATCGGTCTATGTGAAGGAAAATCTCTGAATTCAAAACCACCCAGGAGTTGGTCTCCGTCAAGCTATTTTGCCCAGAAAACAACACTGCTACTATGGCTGCAGTACATGTGCGTACTGATGGGTGTCGTGATCGTGATATATGTCTGTGTGTGTATGTGCAAGAGTGAGAGAATGTGTATGCATGATATTATTAATGAAACCATTAATATAGTCTAGTGTACTTTTTTGTATTAAAAGAAATTACTCGGGAAAGCCTTTCCGTCGGTGAATAAGTATTATGCTACAAATTCGTTTTCGTTCTTCAGCTTGCTAATTCTAGCAATTTAGATCTTGGAATCATTGCCAAGCAGACACATTAAAGAGATTTTTAACATGCACCTGGAGCAGGTTATCGAGAGGTAATTTTTGAAAGGTGGGTCGAACACGAAATTGTGATTGCCAATAAATAAAAAAGATATCTATGCGGAGCATCATCCGAGCTTTACATAAAATAGTCCGCATCGAGAGACAAAAAAAAAAAAGAAAAGATTATGGAAGTTAAGAGCCAGCCTATCAATGATAGTTGCGTACTTAACAATTCTCATAAACCGACTTTCTTAAGATGACTGCACATGAAAACATAGATAAACACCCAAAGCACTAAGCATATATGTTGGTTGGTTGGTTCATCTTGTTTAGCAGCATATCAACCTCTATGGGTTATTTAATGCCGAAATCTAAATATTTTAAACTCAATTTTATAGCTTCAACTACAGATATTTTGTATATGGGCATGTTTGGAAAATAAAAACATTCATATAACTCTAGAAACATATAGAAAAAAATGTATATATTCAATTAAAAGTTAAAATAAAATCATCCTTGACAAAGTTAATAGAATAGCCGAAAGCGCTTGGACATACAGAATATTCTGACAGTTTCTATTTAAATTATATCCAGAAAAGAATAATGTGTGTGTGTGTGTGTGTGTGTGTGTGTGTGTGTGTGTAACTGTCTATATTTCTAAGATGGGGTATTGTAACTATTTACACTATTTACATTCTTTGGACTGTTGTCCTCATCTTTATTGTCATATTCACGACGTTTCTGCCGTTGTACGCTCATGCTTTCTTCAGGTGAAATACGTTGGAACTTTGAACTGAACCCTTTATTTCGTCCCCAGATACCCAGAAAAGGCATAACACATGGAATTAGAACAATACCCCGATGGACGAAAGTAACATACTCCTTGATAATACAAAGATAATAGCATCATCCACATGTACAAAAAGGTTAAAAATAATGGAAGCATTATTAAAAAGAAAAAGCCAACACTCATTAATATCAACAACTACGAACACGGCCACAATGTGTTGATCGTGTTTGGAAAAAAATCCTAGAACTCTATATACATACATAAAACAATCCATATATTCAGTTAAAGTAAAATAAAATTCATCCTTGATAATGGCTACCTAGTTGGATCTTTTCTAATCGATCTCTTTAGCCCGAAGTTGAAATGATGATACCTCTTCCTGTTGTGACCTCAGTGTTCATTTTTATATTCACATACGCTCTATCCCTGGTATTAAGCACTTTTACCCATAAATATAGTATACTGTAAAGTTATATTTACATATTGTGAAATTAATAAATAATAATAAACTCTTCAAATACCTCGGTGTATAGATCAGCTATAACAAATTTAGTGTAAGAGATTAGGAAATCGAAAATAGAATAGCTTGTGCTGGGGGTAGTTTCACACAACACTGTAAGATGCTACAAAATCAAAACATTAAGAACTCAGGTCATGTTTTTAAATAACTTCGTCAGATCTAGAGTTTCATATGGATGTCATGCATAGCATCAACCAGTTCAGAAATGTCTAAACTGTCAGCCGTGTACAACTGTTCCCTCAGATCTATGATTAAAATGGCTTCTAGTGAATAAAGGGAAGGCAATCTTTCTTCAAAACTCGTAAACTGGTGCTACATAATCAAAAAGAACAGTAGCAAATAACAGAAACTACACCACTTGAAGATTTTCAACAGCAGAAACAACTAAAATGAATGGCACATGGAACTTGAAGAGAAAATAATGACATAATCAAAATGTTGACATTTCACATTACATCAAGCAAAAGGCTATAAAAGAAGTCCCCATCAATACTAGAAAAGGCGATAACAATGGACTTGAGAAACCTATTTTCCTGAAAAATTGTTTTAAGAGAAAGATCGTGTGGCAAGTGTGTTCACATTAGAATGTCACCTGTGTGGATAGGTGGTAGGATAATTATTTTACCGGAAACTTTGAAAGTAAAATGAACTGAGTCAAGGGTTAAAATAGATGATATATTTTTATTTATTTTCTATAGAGTGATGAATGAGTCCTTTGGTATTCACTGTAGCAAAAAGTTTGTTAATAAGGTGGATAGTGGTAGCAATCTGGAGAAATGTCTGTTAGTCGTAATTTTGAAGTCAGACCATAATAGGGTAGTAGCAATATCAGAAATTAAGTCAATCTACTGTTTTTTCGGCCTTGAACAGGGCGGAAGTGTCAGTAGCCGATGACCTCTTAACTGCTTCTTCACGTATGGCTGGTTTCTACGCGGTAGCATTCTTTTGTTCCGTTCTCTCCTACCGCCTTTCCTCTACTCGCCCAAAGGTGTCAGATTTATATCCTTTTGATTGGGCAGGAGAATTTGGCGCGAACATTTTATTTGAGGGTTGCCTTCTCGTAAGTTGAGAGAAATATAGAAAGAGAAGCTGAGAGAGAGAAAGAGAGAAATAAAGAGATAAGGGTTTTAAAGGAAAGCGCAAATGCCTTATTTTAATTCTTTTTTATTTTCCCTTATATATTTTATTTTATAGTTTTAAGAGAAAGATTTTATAAATTTCAAAAGACAGTAATGCTAACTGTTCGATCAATGAATGCCGAGTGTTTCGATGTAGGGAAACGGCTAAACTTTATATATATATATATATTCGTCTCATAATCCTTTAGAGCTGATGAAATGGAAAAATAAAGAAAAAAATAGAAAAGCCAGTGAGCAAAGACAACTGGCTATCATACCGAACTGTTTAACAAGTCAACAACAAATTCTCGATGTTTCTATTAAACTTTGAGACTTTAACGAGGAGAAAATTAGACAACTAGATGCAGCAGGAAAACTTCTGTGCCCACCCACAGGTGTGTATATGGATGAATAATTGGTGACTAGAATTGATAGTGATTAAGTCATTTAAGAAATGTGGCATCAGTAACGCAATGGATGGGTTTAGAGATAACATTCTCTTTGATAATATTGAATCCAATGAAGAAATATCTGATTCCATTCCAAGGGATAGTGAAAGCAATGAGGATTTTCTAGGTTTTGAACCAAACTAAATAACATTTTTTATATTCACAGCATTTTATTTCGAAGTTTTCAGCTCTTTTGTGTTTTGGACAATAATTATTTTTAAGTATCAGATTCAATTTTAGTTAAATAAAAAGCTTTTAAATACGGCTGAGGCTCCGTCCCACTGCAAATAAAAGCTGTTTTCCAAATAAGGATACGGCTTATATTATGAAATATGTTTTTATTTTAGATTTTCTGTTTAGCACGTAGATTAAAGTTTTGTTAAAAAAAAAAAAAATTAAGTCTTAAAATATTTTGGGGAGGAGCAATTATGCCTAATACAAAGGCGGATGTCTTAATTGGGAGGTGTCGGACTTTTTCTCAATATGCAATCAAAGGGGAAGGTAGCAAATTATTTCAAGAGCCAAAAAGCGCGGAATTGATAAATGGCGTGATGGGTACATTTCATTACAGAAATAAACGTCCCCCCCACCGTCTGTTAGGCACGTAAGGGTATACACACGATAGTTGAATTAGTAAATTCTATATTGTTGTACACTTGGAGTTTTTACCGTTTAAATATTTGTGAAATCTTCATAATTTCCAAGATTACTAATTAGTTATAAAGAGTCTAGACCATGCCATGTAATGCCCGTTCCCCAATTAGTAAATAATTCTGTCCAAGCGCTCTGAAAAACAGAAAATTGCTATTTAAAAAAAAAAAAAATCTAATTTCTCAATCTGTCACGAAGTAGTGACAAATCAATTTTTAACTCACATTATATCTCTGGAGGAAAAGATAAATACACCGTAGTCTCCTTTTAAGGAGTGTGTGTGTGGGTGTTGGGGGGGGATAAGTTAACAATTGAATTAACAAAAAAATAAAGTCATGAGCTTTATTAAGTGGCGAAATAAATTCAAATTAAGTTTTATTTGAAAGAAAAACAAAGGATAAAAACCATTCGAAGGCTCGTGTACGTGAATACTAGAGATTAAAGTCAAAGCTTGACATCGTTCAACGTTAATAGACATTTGAACAACCCAGTATTTTGGGAAGAGTGACAATCCCTAAGCAAGCATAGCCAATACACATCACAAAGGTCAAAGCTGGGAAAAGGTAGTCGAAGAGAGAACCGCGACAGTGGTAGATTCGTACAAAAGTCACAAAGTAAAGCATCATTTGTATAGTTGACATTACGATATTAAAAAGAAGTGCACTTCTACTATGAACGCCGTAGGTGTCCAGTGTTAACTGGATAGCTAGAGATATGCCAGATACCAGTAAAGAAATTGCGTTAAAGTCGAGAATGTCATCATATAGAGAACAGGTAGATAAGCATGAAAATTCCGAGTCAAGGTGAAAGACGCGAGTGAGAAAGGTAGTCATTATCATGTAGAGCAACATGCAGCTAAGAGTGTATCTGTTCTTCTTGATAGTATGAGAACACCAGGATTCTTTGTATGTCCCGCATATGATATTCCAATTCACCGAAGGGGGACATTGGGAATTGTGGTTTTCACTGAACCGGTTCCTGAAGAGTGGCACTTCGTCGAATGTGATTTGGGGTTCTTCTAATCCCGAAGACTCGTTGGTCGCCGATCCAGCTTGTACACTGGCTTCTACACTAGATCTAGATTCTGCTAGTTTCGAGTCTGTTTGGGTTGAGACATGGTCAGAAGTTACGGTTTCTACAACTGGACAAATGGTTATGCCAGACGGAGAGCTAGAATGTTTGGTGCTGTCTGTAGTTGGAGGCACGGTGTCAACGTTTTGATCTTCGTTGAGCCGTGTATATTCAGAGGAAGGCTTCGCTAAAGCAGCGGTAGTAGTTGGAGGCACGGTGTCAACGTTTTGATCTTCGTTGAGCCGTGTATATTCAGAGGAAGGCTTCGCTAAAGCAGCGGTAGTAGTTGGAGGCACGGTGTCAACGTTTTGATCTTCGTTGAGCACGGTGAATTTTGATCTTCGTTGAGCAGTGAATCTTCAGAGGAAGGCTTCGCTAAAGCAGCGGTAGTAGTTGGAGGCACGGTGTCAACGTGTTGATATTCGTTGAGCCGTGTATATTCAGAGGTAGGTTTTGCTAAAGCAGCGGTAGTCTCTCTTGGGTCAGTTGTACTCGAGCAGCTAATGGTTTTACCACTAGCGAATTCGGTTTCGATAACAATACTTGCACCTTCCGTCTTTCTGATCAGCAAAGGAGTGACAGCAGAAGGGGAAACATCGCACATTATTTTCGAAACCGACTTCTGGTCTGAACTATCAAGATATTCCTTTTGTGTATTTTGCGACATTATTGCATCGGGCTCAGAAGTGAAACTGTTTTGACCATCTTGGTCGACTGGAGCTCCCAAAGTGATTTTTGTTTTCTGCACTTCGGCGTTACTGGTCATGTTTACCACACACAAAAAAAGTCCACATTACTGTGGTTACCGATATTAATATAATTATGGATAATTAAAAAAAATAAAAAAGTTGACCAATGAGAAGCTAGGAAATGAGATGATCTTCAACTTTTTCTTGTCAATGGAACAATCTAAAAATGTTTCCCAATTTCTGTTTATGGTTATTTTCGTCTAATCAAGTAATATTCCTGGAAAAAAAATGAAAAATTGTACAATTACAAATTTTTAGGAAGTTCCCTGCGAATATGAGGTATTTTGGTAAATGTTGGATTGGGTGAAGATGGGTGTTTTATTTTATTTTATTTTTATTTTTTTCGGTGATTGAGTCAATTGTAAGAATTAATGGTTCGGGAATCATATTAGGTTGGCGTAGGATAGTCAGTGACAACCAGCTTTTCTCCACTTCCCTTTCGGCATTGGGCCACATAAAATGTATTTCATTTCAAAATAAAGGGTCAACTGATATTTCTGCCGCAATTAGGATTTTAGTTACTAACGTAGTTTTCTGTCTAAATTTATGGGATGAGGAGTTATTATTATTTACACTATTTATATTTGGACTATTGTCCTCATCCCTGTTGTTATTATCAATACGTTTCGGCCATTGTGCCCCCCGGCCTTCATCAGGTGTATATCGATCCGGGTAACCTACAAAGAATTCCGAACTGAACCTTTTATTTAATCTACGGGAATTTAGGAAAATTCGGTAACTGGAAAGTACGGCCCTGGTATTGTTGCAGTGGGTTTGTCTAGATTGGAACACATTATTTTTTTTTTTTAGTTAATACTTATTTAAACGAATGGTGGGGATAGCTCCCACCTGAAAGTGCGGCCGTGGTATTGTTTTAGTAGAGTTTTATCTAGACCGCCATAGTTAATATTACTTTTTAAAAAATCTTGGGGAAGGAGGCCTAGCCTCCTCCTGTGAATACGGCCCTGATATTGTTGTAGCATGGTTTTATCTGGACCCCATGATTTTTAGTTATTTAAAAATATAGGGTCAGGACACTAAAATCAATTTTCAATCGACTTTCATTTCATAGTTACCTTGTCAAAATTACCGAATTTTCCGATACCGAATCTTCCGGGCTCCAATCTACGAGTGGTAGACTGTTCTCATTCCACTGCCCATATTTAAGGATATCGTCTAGTTCTTATTTTTAGTACATTTAGTACTGTTCAGTTATTGCTCGCTTGTTTCCACTGTAAGTTACCAAAAACGATGAACACCTAGTGACGATCAGAGGGCACAGAGGTCGATACGTAGTGAAAATAACAATAAAGATGAGGACTAGTCCGAATATAAATAGTGTAAATAATAACGTAGTTTTGTTTACTTTTTGTAAATCTTCACACACTGTAAAGAGGGCCGGTGCAAGGGCCTCGTGCACCCCAATACGAGCTCACCACTCTCCAACATCTTAATTTTTATAAGGTAGTATTGATATAAAATACAAATTTTATTGTAACCTAATTATGTACACTAATCGGCATGTTTATACACATACAAAAAAAATTCAAAATTATTTTTAAAATACTGGGAGTCGCTAAATTGTTGTAAGCGTTTCCATTCATGATTAGTAAATATAATATACTTAATACTTAATAACAATATAACCTATTAGACATTATTGTACATGATTCTAATTAAAATTTAAAAATATGAAAACAATTCTTGTAAAAATTCATCGAAAACATTTTACTTAAGATAACAGTGTCCATAATATATCTTATTCATATAAACAATTAAAAGCTTTTCTAATTAATGCCCTACTTTTATTTAAGTATCTCCACTGATTCGCTAAAAATGAGCATACCATGATGAAAAATGCCACAAACTTGATAAAAACATAGTTTTATCGTCAAAATATTTAGGTTATTATTAAGAGGAAAGACCAAAGGATTTTGACTATTAAATTATATTTTTTTTATTCTTTTTAGAACATTCAAAATCTTGATTAAAACCTCACTTTTCTTGCGTCAGCGGCGCGGGGGTGCGGGTTCTGGTTTTGCAAAGATTAGTATAGCTTCTTTTTTGCAGTGATAAACACATTCATTTGGAAATTTTTGCAAAAATCAAATAATTGCCAGATTTTAATGAAAGGTCCAGAACTTATAATTTATAGTTATAAATCTTTTACAATTCTGTATTAATATGTACCGATGAGATGATATGTTATTAAGTAAAAACTATATTTTCTAATCATAAATGGCAAAGCTTACTACAATTCATCGATCTCCAATATTTTAAAAAGAATTTTGATTTTTTTTGCGTGTGTATAAACTTACCGAATTTTGTAAATACGGACCTACAGTTTTATATAAAGATCATTTTATTCAAATTTAAACTTTAAGTAGAAAAATAAATGCTGACTAGCACCCAAAAAAGAAAAATATCACTTACTTTTATATGCTGAAACAATGTCATTTCGCCCCAAGCAAGGCAGGAATGCCACTAGTACGCTGGGTATTACAGAAAGTGAAGGTTAGAGAAAAGACTGGGTAGTGGTGTGGCTGACGAAAGGTTAAAAACTGAACGGGGTTCAAGAAGATAGAAGATATTGATATTGAATTAAAATTTTTGAAGATTGTAGCTATCAGGAAAGCAAGGAAACGGAAGGAAGTTCCATGGGCGGGAAGTGCGAGAAAAGAAACTGTTGGAGTAGAAGTGGCGGTTATATTTACCTAATTCAACAGTAAAAAGGATGGGACCTAGATGCCAATCTAGTAACACGCTTAAACTCATGTACTCCTGACACCAGGGAAAAAAGATCATCAGAGCAGCTGCCATGAAAATATTTGTAGAAAAGACAGGGGGAAGCTACGTCACGTCTGTGGGAAAGTGACTGAACTCGAGATGCCAGGTCAGGATCGATTACATTGCAGATACTTCTTTGGATTTTGTCAAGAACCTCGAGATGAGTAGCAGGAGCACCTGACCAGGTATGGCAACAGTATTCAATGCACGGACGAATCGCAGATTTGTAAATGTGCAAGATGGATTCTGATGAGAAAAACCTTCCGACGCGACACAGTGACCCAACTTTCCTTGCAGTAGATGCAGCTATTTCGATGTAGTCGTTCACCTTCAAGTCAGTTGAAAACATGAGGCTCAGAAGGCGCAGTGTATTGCTTTTCATGAGTCTAGCAAGTTCCATGCTGATGGTGGACAGGAAATTTTCTCTATGGTGGTTAGATGAGAACAGTTTCGTTTTGGAGGCATTCAAATTTACGAGTCATTTTCTGTCCAAGTTAACCTTCTCAAGAGCAGCGACCAGGTAAACTTTGTCAACTTTGACGGATTTGCTATTGAGACAGGAACAAATGGTAGTGTCATCATCATAAATGCCTACTTGGGAACTGATGACATCAGGAAGATCATTGATGAAGAACAGAAACAATGTAGGACCCAGGATAGGGCCTTGGGGGACTCCCGTAAGTCAAATGCTCTATGAAAGAGTTTTCCTTTAGTTTGTCGATGAAATCTGAGAGAAGTCTTCTCTAAGACTATGAAATGAAAATATGACAATTCCAATATCCAAGAAACTTTATTTTTATTACTCTTTGATTCTATGGCATTGTATCTCTTTCTCCAATCTTTATACCTTTATCCATTCTTTCACTATCAGCTCATTGTTTTTCTTACTTCTATGTAAAAAGAAGAGTCAGACGTGAACAATAAAAATCATAGGACTGATGCCAAAGTTGACTTCTTACATAGGTGCGAAAACTTTGATCTCAAGCTTTTTTAGTCGAACTGAAAAATCTATAAAAAAATTATTTTTATTGCTGTAAAAAAAGTAAATTTAAAGGTACAAATGTGGACTTTTATTTACCGGCTTTGTTGTTAACCAGTTTTTTAGTTATTTTCTATTGTGTTTTAATTTTTAGCTTTCATTTTTTTAACAAAAATATTTTTATTAGAATTTTTAACATTGATGCCAGAATTGCAAAAGAAAAAATATCGTATGAAATTTCTGTTAAAATTTTAGTTTTTTTTTATTAAGTGCATTAAAGGAATATTTTTCTTATTGGAAATATTAAATTTATGAATCCAATAGAAAAAAATGAAAAAATTTTCATGTGACGCGTTTCATCCTTTAGGACTTTATTGGACTAGGTTTGTTTACGTTGATGCGACTACACCTGGGCATTTGAAATTTAGAAAAAAAAATTAATATGTATTTTGGGGTCTATAATCTAGCCAATTCCATTTAGATTCCATCCCTCTGTTTTTTTTCTATCATTTTTGTTATTAAATATCCACATTGCGACAACAGTAGATCTGCCATGAATGGAGAAACGTTCTAAGAACCTGGACGCAAATTCACTAAGACGAAAACGTTTAGAAAGTGCTTTAAAATCGCTAATTCATTCACAGTAAATGTGCGTCCAGGTTCTTACAAGATCTATTTTCACTGAGTGGTTAGCTTGTATTGTCAAGGTTCCTAGTTTTTGAGATACAGTTTTTAGATCAAAGAGCAAAACAGACGATAGTCATGAAAAAAATCACAGATTTGGACGAAAGAAAAAGACTTCAGAATGACATCGAAATCTATGAAAAATTTTCATCCTTTTGTCAGATGTGCTTAGTTCAATTTGTAACGTATATAAATAAATGTAGGTAGAAAAAAATAGCAAGAGTCACAAAGCATTGCCCGGGGTGGTATGCGCCGGCTCTGAGTGTAAATACACATTAGGAAGAGATATTGATATTTTTTTGTCCCACGCAGACAAAAAATTGTACATATGGGGACTAATTAGGTCTTCATAGAGTAGTGGTGGAATTTCTGAGACCGGACTAAGAATGGTATGCAAGAATGTGTAGTTATTGTGAATGGAACATTATCGGATATAATGAACAGTGATTGAGACTAATTAATTAAACACAGAACAGATGAAGACCAGCCAATCTCGTCCTTGTGCCATACTGGATGTACTTACCAATAAATTATCATTTCTGCTTACGGCAGACTGTCAACTTACGATTTCTTTCTTTTTGAATTCATTTATTTATTATGCTGGTATCGCACATTAACGTCATTAACGGAAATTCTGTTCTTCAGGTATTGTGTCGATAAGACATCTCACAGCACAATAACCTTTTTGAAGAATTTTCCATAAGCACTCTTTCTAAGTAGTGTTGCATGCGTAATTGTTACAACATAAATTACTCCTTAGCCAGATTCTGGGACTTTTCAATTTTTTGGAGCCCAATCCTCTAGCAAATGTGACAGCAAATTCAATAATTTGACATTTGATATTTGCTACTTTTCTTATCTATAGAATTAAGATCAGGTCTTTGTGCTTCAATGACATGGTCAGTCTGGACCGAGAAATCCAATATCTTATGTCTGTCATGTTTTCATGTTCTGGCTGATATTCATACCTTTTTCTCTTTCACATTGAAAACAAATTTATGTCATCCTTCCCAATGGATTCTCTTAAAAGTCAAATCATATCGTTGCTTATACTCTTTCTGTGTCAACTTGGGACATTCACTCAGTATGTAGTTAACTTTCTCATCAGTTTGTCCACACACCCTGCATTTGATTTTTTTCTTGTGATTTGTCTATCTTAACTTTGATTGCTTTCGTTCTGATGGCCTGTTCCTGTGCTGCAAATACAAGTGACTTTTATTTAACCATATTTCACCCAAAACCTCCTTTCAGGTCCATCAATAAGGTTGTGTCTCTGTGTTTCAATGACATGATTGGTAGGGTCAGAATAATCCCATAACTTGTGACTTTGTAGAACAAAATGCAGCCTGGATACTTCTCTGAATACTAAAACAACAACTTCTTCAAGTCAGGAGTCAGTCTCTATCTATTCTCCTTATCCTTATAATGTTCACTTCCTTTTACCTCCTACATTCATATCTCGCACCTCATTCAGTAACCTTTTACCATGAGTGGTTCTTGAGCCTTGCATTGAGTGAACTTTAGCAAAACAAAAAAAACATCGCCCATTTTGGGCCTACAATAGTTATTTACCTTAAAGAAGATTAGATCTTCACTGAAACAATGGAAAGCCGTTTTAATCCTTCATTCCCAAACTAGTTTTTTCTCACTGTTCATCTCAAACATATCAATCTCAAGGTATGTATGGCTCATGCAAAACCTTAGATGTTGGACCCAGGTCTTTGCAGAAGATGGGGTTTTATTTTTTAGAGCAAAGAAAAAGAAACTCGAAGCCACGTTTTAAATGTTGCTCGAAGATTCGTCTGTGTTTTTGTTGATCCAACAGAAGATCATAAAATTTCAAGAATTATGACTTACAACAACGTAACCGTAATCCTGTCGGCGTGTTACGATTACTTTTACTTGTCTTTTTGTAACGTTCGATCTTCCAAGTGTTCAATCTTTACTTTCCAGTCCTGACAGAGTTCAAAATCTTATTGTAGGTAATAAATTATTTTCCACCCTACAACCCCTTTCCCACAGACTACTCTATCGTTATTTCCTTGAAATATCTTCTGACGAACTCTATTCATTAGTTCCACCAGTTCAGACTTTACAGCGAAGACACGCCATACCGCTTATCCAAGTTTGAATCATCCTCATTCTCTTCTTATTCCATTGATAAAAAGCAAGTTTCTTCTTAAGAATTGATACTTTATGAAACAGACTCCTGAGACGATTCTTCCTCGATCGCTATAATTTTAACCTCTTCAAGTTTAGGGTTAATATATACAGCAATCTCATTCAATAACCCTCTGAGTGGCTCTTGGGACTTGTATTGGGTGGACAATGGTAAGAAAAAACATTAATCATCTCGATTCTGGATTGCCTGTTCAAGAGCAGTGACGTCATCGTCGTAAGGGAAAACCCGATTTATTGAGCACTGCTAAATAACCTTGTTTAGTAAACCGGATACTTCAGTTCCCCTTTAATCTTTCAGGGATTGTAGAGCGCTGGTTAATGAGCGTATATACTAACTAACTAGTGTAGAGAGTTTGACCTTCTGTAGCCTTGTGCCAGACTAAGCTAAATTTAGTAATCAGCTGATGGAGATTAACTCAGAAATTAATTTATTAAAAATCATTTTATTTACTGTTTTATTATGCATAGTCAGATCATTTCTGTTCTGTGACAACGACTTGCGGCAGAATCTGTCTTTGTTGCGACCCGGTCGCATAGGTAGACGAGTACCTGGAATTGTTACGCAGTAACATGATGTTCTTCAAAGTCGAATTTGTTGCAACACGAGGAGGGCAGGTATCATTTTTGGTCGGAGTTCGACGTCGTGCAAGTAAAGGTCCTGCATTTCCTGTTTTCTCTTTACAATCTTTGTCTTCGTACCTACAAAACAAAATAAAGCAACCAAAATCGTAATATTCAATAGTTTTTTTTTTATTTTTTTAAAATTTTTTTACAGAATTTAAGGAATTGGTCAAACGAAGCTCGAAAAAAAAAAACAAAACAAAACAACTTATCTCTTGTTTTCTGTTTAGGGTTGGGTTTCCGGTTCCTTCTCAAATCTACTTCAAGTCTATGTTTCTAACGTCTCCGCCTAAACTCTGAAATTTTATTCACTAATTATTATTTTTCCCTCTCCCAATAGGAGTAGATAGGTTCGCCTATCATCCGATTCATACTCCTCCTCGGTCGTTTGAACAGGAGTAGAGGTTTATCCCTTGTTTATCCCTTAGGGTTGGGTTTCGGGTTCCTTCTAAAGTCTACTTCCACACTATACTCCTAACGTCTCCGACAGAACTCTGAAATGTTCTTCACTAATTAAATCTTGACCTCTTCCGAATCTAGAATTGCATAGCCCCAAGAACTGCACTTCTTGCCCTTTCTTATGAGAATACAACACCGCACAGTAACTCTCTACCTTGAGTGGCTCTTGCGACTTGTATTGCGTGAACATTGGTAAAAAAAGAAAAAGTCATTGTTTTCTGGGAATTGTTTTATAACATCTCAGTGAAACAAAATAATAAAATGAATAAATAAAAATACAATAAAAACAGTACCTGTCAAAAGAAAAAAATTTCACTTAAAAAATAAATGAGCGAATTGGCCTGTTATTTTCGTTGGATGATTATAAGCATACGGTACAAGCATTAATACAGAGCACGATAGATAAATTGTCGTCTAAATGACGCAAAATTGAAAATAACACCGACATCTCATTTAAAGAGATATATTTACCAAAATTATACAAATATCTTGAAATACTAAAGAGTAAATTTATTCAATAAAATCGCCATTGAATTCAACCACAGCCTCCAGACGACTTCGGAATCTCCTGCATCTCTTCTGGATGGTTTCCTTGTATAAGTTGGTGAATGATGCCATAATCCTTGTCCTAAGTTCATCTATGCTGTTACAAGGAGTTTTGTTGGTCACTCGCTCAACTGTGCCCCGCACATAATAATCAAGGGGGTTGCAGTCTGGGGAGTAAGTTGGCCAGATGTAAGGGGTGATATGGTCTGACACCCCTGACTGGGTCTATGCTTGTGTGGCATAATCCAGAGTCCTGTTGCCAGACACATGGTCTTCCAGCAGCCACCCTCTTGACCCAGGGCAGTACTACCTCTTCAAGGCACTTGATGTGGCCTCCGTGTGGGGCCCTGTGAGAAGATGAATGGAGGCATAACGTCATCATTACTAGTGATCACTCCAAACACCTTCGTAATCAACATTACACTCATTCACCTCTTTCTGAATTCTCTGCGCTGTCCTCAAATTGATACCCAAACACTCTAAAACGTTCGTATTGGAGCTTCCGGCACGAATGCCAAGCAGTACAGCATGTCGTTTCTAAATTTCTGGCGGAGTGAATTGCGTCATGCGTCTCTTTTTCTCACAGAGAGTGCCCAACTGACCCTACTATACTGTGCAATAGACAAAATCAAAAACAATGCGCATGCGCGAAATTAAAAATATAAAATAGCAACAATTTATCCATCCCACTCTGTATACGGTATATATATACGGTATATATTTTCATTGGATGATTTTGGCCTAGCATTTTCATTGGACGCTTACGCATTAAATCAACGTAATTACAGCAGGTTTGCTGATTATATCAACGAAATTTCAATAAGAATAAAAAATACGCAACTGTTTAATTATTATTAGTATTAGTAGTAAGTATTTACTTCTACTTTTAGTTTTTACTTGCATTTTATCGCCGTCAATCTACGGCAGCAAATAGTGCAGATCTTAAATTAAAATTAAGCTCTTATTCGTGTCTCTTAAAGATATTAAGGATACGAATGTCACTACAGATACCCTAACCCGAACTAAATGTGTCGTAAGGTAAGTTTTTCTTGACATTGCTTTTTGGATTCGTCATAAATTGCATAAAATTAAAAACGTGTTCATATCTGTTTCTCCAAAATGCCGGACCGGCTTGGAAACTGACCTGCTATATTTATTTATCTAGCAATTTTATAAAATATTTCTTGCTACATAATGACGTCTCTAAGTATTTATATTCGGGCCGTACTTCTGATGTGGATACAAATGTAGCTTTTCGTAAATTTGAGCAAATGTGTACTTTATATTCAGTCATGTTTCTTACCAATTTACATTATATCTTTTAAATTTAAATTATCCCTTTTTGTACCAAAGTTAAATTATCCCTTTTCTAGGCACGGACAAGTTATAAAAAGTATTTTACAAAAATGATGCTAAAAAGTTTTATATCTATGAATACTTCTGTTGATTGTGCTTAAAACGTGTGGTATATAAAGAATTTATACGGACAACAATAGATACGGATGCTAAATATGGAAATTAAAGAAATCGTTTGAAAGCGAACTTACACAAATAAAAAAACAGGGCTATTGACAACGTTAAAAAAAATAGGAAAAGGTAAACATGAACCAGAGAACAGATCATGTTGAGAAATATCATAGAAATGGAGGCGGGTGGGAAGCATGGCAAGAAGAAAGAATAACAGATGGAGCGAAAGGTTGGTTGATTGATTTTCAGTGGCTAGCAAGTGTAACAGAAAAAAAGGTAGCGAGGGAGAGCGAGAAGAAAGGACTAACAATAAACTACAAGAAGACAGAATGCATAGTCATCAGTAAAAGGATGGGCCTTAAATGCAATGAATGTTGAGCACTTTTATCCATAAATATAGCATACCATATATATATATATATATATATATATATATATATATATATATATATATATATTATACGATCGCCTGTAATAATTGTTACAAAAATACATAGGAGAAACCTGAAACCTTTTCATAAAAGATTATATGAACACAAAAGGGACATTTTGCAAAAGAATGGTTGGCCATCGTAACGAGACTGACTACAATTTTGACATGAAAATGCTACTGTGATCAAATGAGAAAACAATTCACTACGACGAAAATGTCTAGAGAGTGTCTTGATTGCAAGCTAATCTACAGTAAATTTGCGCTCTGGCGCATATAACATTTTACCATTCCTGGCAGAACTTCTATTATTACATTGTGGAATATCTACGATTTCACAGTATAGTAGGGTCAGTCGGGCACCAACATAACAAGTTTAGTCCGATTAACTCCTAAAGGACGAAACGCCTTACAAGAAAACTTTTTCCACTTTGACATACATTTTCTCCATATATATATATATATATATATATATATATATAGAGAGAGAGAGAGAGAGAGAGAGAGATAGATAAACAAATTAAGTAAATAATAAACAAATTAACAAACTACGAATGCAGACAGCTACAAATAATCACATTCGAATCAACAATTATTCCTACTCAATAGCCTCTAGAATAATTTGAAACATAACCGCCTGCTCAATAACCGTTAGAATAATACAATAGACTTTGCTATCCATAGTGCACCATTGCCAAGCATATATAAATAGTCGTACAACACACACGGCCTGAAGATTGCGTTCAAGTATGAAACAAACGGCCGCTACTCGGTGTTGACATCAGTGACTACTTTTATATTTTTATTTCTACATTCGCTCTATTTCTGATATTGAGCACTTTTACCCATAAATATAGCATACCTTAAAACTATATTTTTATCATATATACCTTCATAATTCAACTCTCAAAAACGACCCTGCCCTCCACACCGTAAAAGGTCAGACTTGTGGCTCAACTCTGATTTTAGAGAATTTCTCTGTTTTATTTTTTTTATATATATTTGATGCTTATATTAATATTATAAATATATGTATATACAAAAGATAATATATTCAGAATTACTCACTGTTTATTCTGACTTGCACAGCCATTGGTTGTCCTTTTGTCTGTGCTATTAACGTTAGGTAATTTTGGAGATAATGTGGAAGCCCGTGTACTAATCGGAGGCACTGACCAAACATCTAGACCAGGGTGGCCATGAAAGTCAACTCCAGCCCCACCAATCTCACCACCCCATGGAGTTCGGATTCCTTGTTTACCGCGTGCAGGACTACAATATAAAAAATACATAACCAAATAAAAAAACAATTTGCTAAGCTGAATTATTTAACTTGTAGTTCGCCAAGGACAGATCAAAGACTAAGTGGAAATCCAAGAGAATTTTTACTTTTGTTAAGAAACGCCAGTTTGGATCAATCATTTTTAGATACAAATATTAATTAAGATTTTGAGAGACCAACAACTGAATTTAGACTGAGAAATGACTAACGATGATAGTTTTTTTTAATGAAATTAACAAAAAGTCCTTTCTTTTACAGTAAACGTTATATATATATATTGTCAAGAGTTAATATATTGATTCTGTAAGTAAAGTCTTTTACTGCGTGACGTCATTAACAGTAACGAAAGAAGTACATTTAAACATGTATTCTGTGGTATATAAAATCCTGTTCAAATGGGCTTAATATTAGTTCTCTGTGTGACAACATTTGTTAGTTATGTATAAAGCAACGAACTGAATCTCTATCGAAGAAAATGACAATTCAATAAGGTATTGTGAAAACTTGAGCACTCAACTAATCCACAGAAAATGGTTTGAAAGTAGAAATCTCTTTTGCATCATAATAACGTAAGCTTGCATAGCTAAAAAAAAAAAAAAAACGGCGCAAATGGTGAGAAACCTGAAATTCACAGCTGCTGAACATATTTTGGAAAATGTGTAGCACTAGGAGGTCACTATGTTAAAAATAAAGTTGTAATTTGAAGAGAATTAAATTTCATTCACTTTCATACCAGTTTAATTATTCTATCTGGTCTAAAACTTGTTTTAGAGGATTGGAAACCTTACTTATCAATCAACCAAATGATTTCTAGTAGGGAAACGGCTATTACTGTTACCGTTTGATCTACAATGATTAATAAGATAGGTGTTGTTACTTATCAATTAACACTCGTAATTTTAAAGGGAAATTTCCTTCATTTTGCTACCAGTTTCATTATTCTATCTTGTCTAAAACCTGTTTTGCAGGATTATAGTTACTTAGTTCTCATATCGCAAATCATTACTACTGAGTTCGATTCTTATTGGGTTCTTTGTAGTTGTAGGCCGTGTTAATATATAATACCAGCTCGTAAATAGAGCGCCCGGCATAGAAAATCAGCATTCGAAATTTTGATTTTTGACCTCGTCTCAAACAGCGATCGCTGGCATCGGTGAAAAATAAGAAACTATCGTCAGCTATGAAGTAAGCTATTTTTTGAAAAAATTGGAGATGGAGAGAAATGAGGTGGGAAGATTGTTTTACATCAAGTTTACAAATAGGGAGTGCCAACTTGTTTAATATATCAGTATTCGAAATCTTGGTTTTTACCTAGACTCGAACATCGACCTCTGACACCAGTGGAAAATACGTAACTTTTCCAGTCATGTGGCACAAGGCTAGATTAGCTAAGGGGAAGATTGTGTTAACGCCAACCTTCTGTATTAAGAGATTGCACGCGTTTCAGCATTCGAAATCTTAGTTATTAGCTGGGCTCGAACACTACCTTCCGTCACAAGTAATAAATATGTAATTGTTTCAGTCTCAATATATGGCACGTTAACAATGTGTAGAGCAGATAAAAATCACGCTTTAAAGATTCGGACTTGAATTTAATCAGGTTTAATGATGCATGTTAACCCTGTAGACTCTCTTGGTTGGTGGAGGGAACAAAGAGCCAGAGCTTCACCACGCTGTTTTGTTTTCGGCAGCAAGTAGGTTTTTATCGGGTGAATGAAGCTACCCTTACGCCTAACCAATTGCCCTTCCCTTAGACTGGCTTACGGCCATATCATGTTGAAACACCGATTCTTGTACGAACACCGAAGTTAACCAACGCCGAGTTAGGTCATTACCTAGATGGGTGACCGCTTGGAAATACCAGGTGCGGGTGGTGTAATGGATAACGGCTCGGAATTGGAAATCGGAGAGCCGAATTCCAGGCAGGTTCGTTATATTCACTTATACCATTAGGAAAGATATAAACCCACATTCTCCCTCTAATTTTGGTTTAATTAGTAGGACTTGTATCTGTAATTCATTTTTATCTTTAAAAAAATTCTTACAATCTAAAAATATTTTCTGAAAAAGATTGATTAGTGAAAAAAAAAATCAGTCAAAATACTCCTAGACTAGTTGCCAGGCAAAACTAGGGGAAAGGAGATGACCTCATAATTTTCCGAGGGTATTTGTGCAAAAGCGAACGCAATGGCCTTGGCTGGAATTTGAACTAGACACGCCACTTCTACTTTTCGCATTGATTACCGATGCGCTACCACCACATCCCAAATGTTCTAACTAGATTAGATCAATTGGTCAAATAGAAAGATCAGCACATGCATAGAACCCAAAAGAATAGATTGATTGGCGTTGTGCGATGCTTAACCAAATCAGATTTGATTAAGGTCTCTAGTATTTTGCAAAAAGAGGTAGAATGCTAATAGACCGATATTTAGAAGAATCACACGGTTCACTGGAGTTCTTAAAGACTGGAAAAATAGAAGAGGATTCCAACAAACAGAAAAACGAGGCAGCGAGGTATATATTGTTTAGAGAGAACAGGAGCTAGTTCGGGAGCATATTTCTTAAGGACTATTACATGGATGCTATCAAGTTCATATGCTTTGTGGGGATCCAGATTAGAGATGACAGCAGAAACTATAGGAGTTATATGCATATCACTCAACTGGAACTCAGTTCTAAGTGGAAAGTCAGGCAAGGATACCCCAGATGAGTCAAGAGTAGAGTTTGAAAGGAATTTACGGGCGAAACATTCTGCTTCAAATTAATTGAAGAGAGAAAGAATAGGAAACTTAAAGTTCACAATAAAAAAATCAATCAAATAACAAAATACCACAAGAAAATTTCAAGTGTATATAAAACAATGCAAATTACAAAGAAGGTACAATAAAAGTGTTTCAGTGAGGTCGAACTCAGTTAAAAGGGTATATTTACCTTGAAGGTATGAAATATGAATGTTCTGAACAGTTCTTGTGATTTTATGTGAGTTGTCGAAATTCGTGGCAGAATCCGTTCGTGCGTTCGGTTCAGAATCTTCAATGTAAAGCGTTGTTTTGAGAACAGTACTTCTCTGTTGTGAAAACGACTATTTTGTTACAATTGTCAGAGAGAAAATGAAAATTTGGCTATCAATACTTCCTTGAAGAGTGGGTTTCTTTGTGTCTACGCTCGATCAGGTTTTCAGATATTTTTAGAAGACTCCGCGTCTCCCACTCCTCTGACAAGCGTCTCCTATCCCTAACGTCCGTCGCGTGTACTACTCCCCAGCGTCGGATCTTCCACTGCTATGAAGCTCGCTATTGCATGAAATTGTATAGCCAAAGACCGGCTTCGATTTGCCTGAGACATTTTGGCGGTCAACACAAGGATTTCACATTTCACCCAGCTCGAGTAGCCATTGTTTAAAAAATCACGTTTATTAAAACAATTTATTGTAGCAGAATAACACTTCTGTTTTTCTTTTCCCTTCCTTTATCTTCAGTTGACCCCCCCCCAATTTCTTGGTCAAGGAGTTTTGCATGCAGGCTGGCAAATTTCAGGTTTCAGTAAATTATTTTATTCTATTCATCCCCTTCCCCAAGAGTGGAAAAAATAAATAACTTTTAACAAGATTGAGCTCCTTGGAGGACACGTTTACATTTATTACGTGCAGCTTCTTACCAAATAACAAAAAAATGGTGGACATTTTCAGCTGCTATGAAACTCACCTGAACCGGAAGTCTCTGGGTAGCGAGAAAGATTTTAGTGCTCGTGTATGGCACTGTCGCAATTGATGTCGGAAGTCGTCTTCTGCGCAACCGTATCCATTAAATATGTGATCACAGAAAAGCAAATTACCGTGACAATAAATCTAAAATAAGAAAAAATGCATAGAACTAGAATTATTCTTATTAAAAAAATATTGTTTAATAAATTATTTGTTTGGACACCCGCTCAGATATGAATGTTTTTTTTTTTTTTTTTACGGTCATAGGTTTTCCTACTGGGATGGATTGCTCTCAAGCTCTGTCACGATTTTAGAATTTATGGCTGTTGGTGAATTGTGATCTCCACATAAACAATGATTTTAGAAATAAATTACCTATAGTCCTAACCACTCACAATACCCTTTCTTGATTTTCAATACATATTCTGTAGTAAAATTATTTACAATGGTTTCTTATGTTAAAATCATTTGCAATTAATTTAAATTATGCATATAATAGCCCTATTCTTTCAGTAAGACATGCATTAATTTCTGATCACTGTCAATCTCCTTATTTTCAAATCATTTGTATTGTAAAATTATTTACAATGGATTTGTTTCACTTTCGTGTTTGTCTATTTTCTTTTAGTTTTTCTTCGTCAATACACCTTCTCAACTTTAAACGACACCACTAAACCTAATAACAACAATATTTGTATCCGTAAACATTAACTTGGTCCGGGGATAGGTAATTATTGGAAGTTTACATTTACAGTTTATTTTAGATTAAAAAAAAAAAATCTATGACAAAGTAGAAAAAAGTTTTCGTGTGACACATTTCGTCCTTTAGCATTTCATCGAACTAAAAATTGATGTATATGGTGATGCGACTACACATGCGCACGAAGGAGAGGGGATGCTGAGAATTTTCAATTTCATTTTTTTTTTAATATATTTTTTGGGTACATAGCCGATTTAATTTAGTTTCTTTTTATTCATTATCAATTTCTTCATGTTGTAAACATTTTAAAACATTGTTGCTATACTCATATGTTGGATTCAAGCTCTATTGCACAACATTTAAAGGAACATTCCTGTCCACATTCACGATTTAGAGAAATATTAATTGACAATACAAGTGTACTCCACCATGAAAATAAAAAATAAAAAACTTCAAATTTATGAAGCTCTCTATATTAGAAAAATACAACCAACACTAAATAAGATTAATTATGAATATAACAAAATTGTTTTAAAATGTCTACATTGTATTTTTTTAAATTACAATTATAACAGCAATATTTTAAAATACTTAAATTGTTTATTTAAAAAAATTACAAATATGAATTAAGTTACCTCCCTTAGATAAAGTTTATTTTTGAATCAACAGAGCACGTTTCATACTCATTTACAAAACAATTCACAACTATCAATTACATTAATTTTTTTGTTTTAGCAATTCACCGTTGAAGATGATGTTGGATGAGACTGGGGAAAATAAATGTAAAAACAACAGGAGCTTCCTTAATGAGTTTAATAACAACATTAAGAAATTGATCCGTGAATTTGAGAAGATTAAAATAAAAATAAATGGACATAATATGTCTAGATTATTCATCCAAACATGCTTGAATAAAGATATGCTACCTAAATATATATATATATATATATATATATATGATGGACACTGGCATTTGTTTGTTTGTGTGCCACGAATTCTCTGAAAATACGTCCCCATGTTTTAGCCTTATTTATCCGTTATAATAGCAGAGTAAAAGAACAGTACATCTACTTAAACATGGCCATCCTTGGAAAAACATTGAAAATGAAAAAGAATGATATAAATTTGGCTTCTAGACTGACCACCGCAGCCAAGCGAGAAAACTGGATGTTATAGATATAAACCAAGTGGACCTGCTTAACCACAGAAGTGACCCTACAGATGAATGAGAACTAAAAATCCCAAAACAATGCATGGCACATGAGAATGTGGTAGAAGATTAAAATCATAATTATACCTATAATATTTGGGTTACTTGGAACCGTGCGAAAAACATTAGAACCAAGATCAGAGCAATGTCTGTGAGGATACTGATAAAGGTGCTGGTTGTGGACGTGGCTGTACCAGTGGATTCCAGAGTGAACCTAAAGGGGAGTGAGAAATTGAAAAGATACTAGGAGCCGAGAAAAATATGCAGTACGGAGATCCTTGATAGTACGAGCACTGGGAACATAAACAATCATTTAAATTGAGATAATTAGAAAAATTAGAAATTCGACGAAGTATCAAAACTGTTCAGAACATGATATTGCTGCAATTTGTGGAGATGCTGAGAAAGATGCTGGATAGTGAGGAAACTTGTTGCCAATCGGTGATGACAACCAAACATCTGGAGTGACCATTAAAATGCATGAATAATAATAATAATAATAATAAATATGCATTATATAAATTCAGTATGTCGTAATAACATTTTGCAATACAATACTAATAAAAATTTCAATTGGGTGTTAACGAAACGAAATGTATCACTTACAAGCACCATGCCTGGGACGACATTGTGTCGAGTGAGTAGCAATGGACGTCGATTCTCAACTTCCCCTGCAGCTTTATTAATATCATACTGAAGTACCCGGAACATGTCAGTTTTGGATTCTACGCACGGGTGGCGCCTGTTCCGGTTTTGTCTTTGGTAAACCCGTTCCAACATTTGTAAGCCTGGACTACTCTCTGGGAAGCTGAAATGAAAATAGAAAGATAAGACAATTATTAATTTATATTATGTATAGCATTTAGTCTATTTTATTATTTTAGTGTATTTACGAATGGGAGTTCTAGTTTGGTTGGCTGAAAGGGCACAATTTCAACTCTTGGGTAAGACAGAAGTTCTTTGGGTGAACATGTAGGCGGCGTGAGGAGGACAGTTTCAAGAACTTGCAAAGAGAAACACTGGGCATGTCATGTATGGGAGGAGAAACGCGTGCCTATTTCAGACTAAGTTTCTAAATTTCAAATTTTTTCTACCTGTGGAAGGGCGAAAGGTAAATTGTCTTAAACTTTGTGAAAAAAGAGGAAATTAATTTGAATGAACAGTATATTTTTCAATCTAAAATTAAAACTTTTATTCAATGGGTCTCCACACGATTGTCTTCAAACATTCTTGAAGTCGAGTAAGCTCTAAATGATTTTATCAGAGTCTGGAGTTTTTATGGTTGCGTAATCTACAAGTGAGGTGTTCAAAGCAACCGCCCACTGTCTACAAGTGGGGAAAAGAAATAAAATCAAGAGATAAATAGATAAAAACTTTCCGGATCAAGTGCCACTTGGCTGAAAGATAAGGAATTCCAATTGTGCGACAAACCGGCAGTAAAAAAGAAGCCGGCAGTTAGTGGGTGACAAGTAGTCGGTCAGAGATACAAAGATTAGAGCCATGTATGCAGAGAGAGAGAGAGAGAGAGAGAGAGAGAGAGAGAGAGAGAGAGAGAGCTTCTGTGCCCACCATTATAAATGGCCCCGAAGTCATATCTTCCTCGATCTTTGCCTCAAAAACAACGTTAGATGACAAAGACCACCCCTACTCAACTTCCTACGTCTCACTAAGCACAATCTCAGCAATATCTTAATTTCAGCACGAGAAGTCTCTAGACTTATCAAAAGCCTTGACTCTAAAAAAGCCACTGACCCAGACTAAATTCCAGAGGTTGTCCTTAAGAATATCGATCCAGAATTATCCCCGGTCCTAGCGAAGTTATTTAACCGCTGCTTGAAGGAGAAATCCTGCCCAAGCCTATGGAAGGAGTCAAGGGTATACCCAGTCTTCAAGAACGCGGTAGAGCGATCTTTCCTCTGCCAGTATAGACATATCAGTCTCGTCAGTATAATCAGTAAGCTTTTTAGTCTATAATCAACAAGAAGGTCGTCGAGCACCTAGATAGAAAAAAACCACTTATGCGACGAGCAGTACGGGTTTCGATCGGCCCGATCCACTGCTGTCGTCCTAACTACTAGTACACACATAATTAGTGAGTCTCTTGACGACAAATACATCTCGAGGACCTCAGCATTAGATATTTTGAAGGCCTTTCACAAAGTGCGGCACAAAGGTTTGCTACACAATTTCTATAGTTATGGAATCACTGGAAGGGTCTTCTCAATTATAAAAGCCTTCTTAACAGGTAGATCCCTGAAGGTAGTTATAACAGCCAGTCCTCCGAGGTCATGGTGGTCAACGCAGATGTCCCACAGGGGTCACTTCTCGGACCAACCCTCTTTTTGATTTACATAAATGATCTGCCTAAGAATATATTCAGATCATTTGTAAACATCTATGCCGATAATACGACGATATACTGACGCACCTCTAAAACTCTTGACGATCAGAGATTGGCAGCTGATCGCCCATCTGATCTAGCACTAACTGCTCAGTGGGGGGGGGGCGGTTACATTCAATGCATCGAAAATCAAACTGGTTACATTTAATCACAGCTGATCGGACTGCTGCCAATCACGATAAACGGATGTCCCCTCGGGGAAGCTCCGTGCTTTAAGAGACTATTTGGCCTCAAACTCACACCTGACATCAAGTGGAACTCATACATACGATCCATCGCTAAAGATGCAGGTAAAATGGTCAACTCCCTGTACCGCTCCAGTAATTACCTGACTCCTCATGCTCTCCTCTATCTTTACAAGAGCCAGATCAGGGCAAAAATCGAGTACTGTTGTCATATTTGGGCGGGAACTGCCCAGTCCTCACGTTCCAGTCTCGAAAGTGTTCAAAAGCGTCTCCCCTTCTTTGTGAGTAACGAATTATTTTCCACCCTCCAACCTTTCCCTCACAAGCGGGACATGGCACACCTCTCACGGCTCTGTCGCTACTTCCATGGAAAGTGCTCGGGCGAACTACATTCCTTGGTTCCACCAGGTCTAACCTTCATGGCTAGGACCCGTCATGTCACTTACATTGTAGCAAACCACCCACATTCACTCCGTGTTCCATTGCTGAGAATTAAGTTCCACTCGAACAGTTTCTTCCTGCGAATCACTAATGTTTCCCCAATCACTACAATGTTAACCTGTTCAAGCCTTGAGTTAATGGTTCTATTCCCCTCCTATCCGTATAAAATGTCTTTCTTACTCTGTGAAACTTACTGTAAAAAAAAAAAATAAAAAAAAATAAAGAGAAAGTGACAGTCGCGGTCGAAATGGATGAATAAACGACAATAATCAACCACTAAGGCAGGGTTAAAATATAAAAAAATTGTTGATATATAGTTCTTTAGTTACCGTTACCGTGGATGTACAGAGAAGAGAGACTGGAGTGGATTAGTGAAGCCGCCAATCTGATTTGCCGAAACAGTATGCGAGCGAAATGTCTATGTGAGCATCGTGTGGGTGTTTGGAGGAGGGTGGGTTTCGAGCGGATATGTGTGACTGGTCATTTGACCGAAGTTACGGTGATGACGTCGAGAACTCGCCGGGCGAAATGACCACTAGCCTGCCGGCTGCTTTATGTATCTATCGCTTATGAACGAATTTCTTAAAAGCAGATTTCTTAAAAGCTCCTAACCGCATATTTTGTTCATGTTTTTTTTTCTCTCTGGCGGCAACATTCGTGATTTATTTTAGGTTATTTTATAATTTTTGAAGGAATTTGTGTGGGCCGAATGTGATGCCCGGATCCTCTGCGTACAAGACTCCTTTTTATTTTGGGTTTTGCTTTCTTAGCGTTCACATTCTACTGACATGTAGAGTGAATCAGAAAGAGCTGCGTATAACATACCTGTATCTCTATTCGAGCTAACTTCTAATTTTTTTACCTTAATGAGCCAAAAGATTTCCCTTTGCTTAGGACACGATATTTAGTATCGCATAAGGCTAAAACTGGGGAGAATTGTTTAATTCTTATAGTTTAAGTAGAAAGAGTTTGTCTATCTAAAAAGAAAAGATATTCGAAATCCTGGCTTTTAAATAGGTTTGAACACCGTCCTTTGGTACTCCTGGAATGTATTTCAACCAAGAAGTCTTCATTTTGAAGAAATAACTTTTTGACTGTCCTTCAACAGATGCAACACTTTTCCCTTTCTATCACAGCTATTTGTTGAAGATTTGTATTGGCAATTTCACTTCATTCTCTTTTTTCATACTCTGTGGTCACTTTCTATTTATGACCCCCATATGACCTCTTTTGAAATGTTGTCTCTCCACAAAATCTGTAAACTTTGCATTGTTATGACTTTTTAGAAAGAGAGCGGAGTTGTTTTCCATTGTTTTTTTCACGGTTTTGAATTCATGGTTATCCTTGATCGGTTATCATTCTAGGCTAGAGACTCCAGTTTGTTTTACTATTGAAACTAAAGATTGGAAAAGAGATGGGAAAATTGGTATGTGTCTATGATTTTGAGGGTTCTATTATCCTTATTAGAAGTAAAGTGGAACACCTCAGAAAGAGGCATTTTGGTAAAGAATATTGTTATTCAGAGGATAATCAACGGAAACTCTTTAACACAAATTTTTTTAATATTTTAAAGAAGATTCATAACAGGGTGTCCCAAAAGTCAGCAATGGATTTCAAAATTTAATAAATCCTTTAATCTGTAGCTTTAATTCACAATAACATAGTATTATATAGGGTAGACACGAATTTACACTCGTTTATAAAGATTACATCTTTTTGAGTGACGTGCATTTTCAGCTTCCCACGAACGTGCCCTTTCTAAGGTAGTTTCCATCACGGTCCACAGTGTTTCAGGTTTTAGTATTTTGATGTCTGTCTAGATATTGTCCATCAGTTTTTGGAAAGCCTGAGGCTTGCTGGCATAAACCTTTTCTTTGTAATAGCCGCATAGGAAGTATTCAGCGCTTGTCAGATCCGGGGAACGTGCTGACGTGTTTATGTCGCAACCGTGAGAAATTATTATTTTCCTCAAAATTTACATGAGAATTTGGATTATGTCCTTTGTCGTATGAGCTGTTGCCCTATCATGTTCGGAAAAAGGCTAATGTATTTATAGTGACTTCCGAGAGATCTAAACCTGTCGAGACTGCCTTCGAGTTGATGCGCTTGGATCTTCTTCGATACACTCCCTTACTCACTCAAATAGTCCTTCGTTCCTAAACTTTACTTTAAGAACTTAAGAATCTCTCACACCGTAATGGCGACAATATGCTTGGATTTGGTAGAAATATTTCACTAATTGTGGTCATTTTTCAGTCGTGTATTTTTACCTGATTAATTGCCAAAGCCCTTTTATAAAATACCTGAAAGAAAACTGAAAAAAAAAAAAATAATAAACAAAACATTTATTAAACTGTTTATACCTCTTGTTGACTTTTGGGATACCCTGTCCATAAAATATAGATAAATAGTATAGATTTATATGCTTATACACAACATTTTGCACTTAAAAAAGACTTAGTGTACAGTTTGAATTGTGACTTACATTTCTTGTCTGGTCAGGGTCTATTATCACTTTTGCACGGCCCTGTTAACCCACGGCTGGTACCTTAAATCCGTTAGCAGGTTCATTTTTTCGTTCCAATAACCATTATGACATCCCATATACAGTTCTATCTATATAATAATTGCGAATGTCAATGTGTCACTGTGTCACACTTTTTCACCTTTACTTCTAGAGGCCGTAACCCAACATATCATACTATTTTGGAATCAGGCCGACTCCATGAGCAAATTAAAAACATTCCCAAGTAAGTTTTCATTACTGCGATTGTTTTCAGCGAGTTTTTACATGATTTTTTGTGACGAAGTTTTGTACGATAACAATTTTTATAACTTGGAAAAAAAATTGGAAATAATCGAAATTAACTGCGAAATCCAGCAAAAGTCACTCATGAAATAAAAATAATTGTTTGTACGGAAAATAAGGACCTACATATATCAAATTGCCTTTAAATTAAGTAGAGACAGAAGAATTATCATTGAACTTTTAAAAGGTAAGCTTAAATATTAATGCAATACTTAAATGCAGCGATCAATTTTGAGTTCTTCTGGAGTTTATTGTTGCCTATCGCATCTACTCCTCCATTTCTATTTTGATGAAGGTTTAATTAAAGAGCCCTCCGCAGGATCTAGCTTAAATGCCGCCCGATAAGGCGGCTTTTAAACTAGTGATTATATATATATATATAAGCGTTATTTTTAGTGGGTGCACGTGTTTGAGTTGCTATCTCAGTTTACTTTTCATTTTCTAGGCCAATTATTTTTTCACTTTTTAAGAAAATATAAACTGGGATAGTAACTCAAACACGTGTACCCACTAAAAATAACGTTTATAATAATAAGTAATGTCCGATTAAAAATACTTTCCAAAGTTCAAAACTTACTATATATATACGTGTATACATATATTCGAACAAAAGTCGAGAATTGTGGAAAACATTTTTATTGACAAAATGTCTTACCTTCGTTAAATAAGTGGGCGTCTTCAGGTGAGAATGAAAGACAAATCTATGTCTGTATGTTTTTCTTTATATTAAAACCATTGAAGACGCCTACCAAACGAAGACCAAACTATCTCTCTCTCTCTCTCTCTCTCTCTCTATATATATATATATATATATATATATATATATATATATATATATATATATGTTTTAAGGTCTGCTATATTTATGGGTTAAGGTGCTCAATATCAGGGATAGACCGTATATAAATATAAAAGTGGACATTGAAGTCAACACCCAGAGGCGAATGTCTGTTTCATGGTTGAATGCAATCATCAGGCCTGACGATTGCGTTCAACCATGAAACAGCGTGAAAGGCCTCCGAGTGTCGCATTCAAGCATGAAACTGTCGCCTCTGGGTTTGATTTCATGGTACACTTATATATATATATATAATGTGTGTGTGTGTATATATATATTAGGAAAAAAAACTTTATAGTATACTAACCGTGATGAAACAACAGCCACTACAATCATCTGTTTGTTATTGGTCTCCCTGTAAATGAATTGATCATATTCAAGATCTGTTATCTGAGGTATGAAGCTGACACTACACCGACAGAAAACATGGTTAGAGGTAGCTAGTGTTGTCATATACCTCCGTAACGCCGGAGTACAGGGAATTCCCAATACTGTAATGACACGTCGCCTTGGTCGTTTTGAAGCTCCAGTCAGTTGTGGAATTGTCTTCTCTTGATTCTGATTCAGTTCGCTTGGTCGACTTCTAATCGACGAGCCGCAGCATACACGTAATTTGTCAGCAGTTCTGTGAATGCAATTCAAATAAATAAAAAAAATTAATGTTTATAACAATTAAAAAATATAATTAACAATAAGACCGCCTCTCTACAGTATTGAGCAAGTCTATTTTGCAGTTCACTTCGCTAGTTTAGATCCTCACTAGGTGCCTCATGACTGTAGCCTAGTGACAAAGTAAGCTAAGCTTAGTCTCTGTATACGGATAGATCGGATTAATTTCCGAACCAATTTTAGTTTTTCATAATATTTCGACTGTGCACTCTACAGTCTTCTTCAGAAAGGCAAGATAATACATCGTGAAAAAAATAATGAAAACATATAAATAAGTTGAACGGGATTCAAGAATAGAGAAGATGATGATTGACGCTGCATTTAAATTTTTGAAGATTGTATTTATCAGGGAAGCAAGTAAACGGAAGTGAGTCCCACAGGGGGGAAGTGCGAGAAAAGAAACTGTTGGAGTAGAAGTGGCGGTTGCATTTAGCTATTTCAACAATAAACAGGTGGGACCTTAAAAATACTTAACAAAAGAGTCCGTTTATCGTAACCTAATGGATAATAAGCTCATCATTTAGACTATTCACTAATGAGTTCGATCCTCAATGGGTGCACTACTCATGTTACTTTTGTTGAACTAAGTTAAACCTTGTAAACTGAACGTCTCGTTGCGTAGCAATCGTTAGCAAACTTGTCTTACAGATTCCAAAAGTAGATTCAGTAATTGTAACTATAAAGTATAGCACTCTCTTTGGGATAGGAAGATTTTTCTTTGCGGGAAGTGTTCTGACATTTTAGCCACTCCAGAAATCTTTGGTCGTAGGCTGTTCCAGATAGCCCTAAAGATCTTCCCAGCTATATATCGGCGATACACAGTCAGAAAAAAACGGAAAGAACATTTTACAGCGTTTACTTTTTCAAAATTAATGTTACGGTAAATATTGATATCTAGAATATAGATGTGTAGTGATTTTATGTTTCAATGGCGATAGCACACACAGAAGATTGGCTGTATCGGATATACGTAGTAGCAGCAGCTACCGACACTAAAAATACTCGTATTTTCTAAAATAAACTCTTTTCCTTCAACTTCACAGTGCATAACAGGGTTAGGGTTAGGGTGCCCCTGTCCGGTGGTTATTAAGAAGGATTTTTCACTCACTCTGTTGTTAGAAGAGGCGTACATTTTTCAGGACCAAACTTTTTTATTTTTGTTTTATAGAATAAACGTTTCATAAAATTTCAGCATGTCGTACATTTGTTTTCGTTCTATGATGAAATCATTTTAAGATGGTATAGATACCAATACCATTTCAGAAGGAGGGAAAACAAGTGTACATGTATATGACGATTCTAGAGAGGAGACAACTTTAGAAGATATAGGATTTTCGAAGAGATTCTATTGGTCTGCTACATAGCATAGCATTGACTGCCAACAAGAAGACCTTTTCATTATTTGAAGTGCTTTCAAATTAAAAATATTCGTCCGTCCAGCAATACGAGAATAGCATCTGGAGTCAATAGAGACATCATGTTCGATATTGATAAAGGTTTTCAGACAGTTCAGAAAAAAAATCACATAACCAGATTTAGTATAAAACCTGTAATGATGTAAAGGGCTATTATCTCCTTTTTGGTAAAAGGATGTCACGAGAGTCATGTGACGGCTGGTGAGTGACGTCAGTTAGTGGGCTGACGAATCCCTGTTGCTAATATAGACCGCTAGAACGATAGAGGTCATGAGAAGCACACACTACCTGCTTGACCTTTTTTCCCTTCCGGAAATATTACAAGTAAGGCCCACTCGCTGCTCACCGTTTCATACTGCTTGTTGTATTTTTCCCTATCTTAAAAATAGTAACAGGGATATATATGTGTGTGTGTTGATATAGCGGTATAAAAAATCTCTTTGAGAACAATGCATGTTTATTATTCCTTTCAGCTATTCTGGTCTTTCCGTCTTTTGTGTTATGGTGTGAGTATATCACGGTTATGATATGGCTATAATGGGGCAACGGTAAATATTATTTCTTTCTTTCCTAGCCCCCTTTTAAAACTATTGATACCATCTGGCATCAACTATCTACGCACACAATTGTACATGAAGCTGGAAGAACGTAAATTAGGACCGGGTAAACGATCAAAGGTTACAACTTACTTCGAAACATGCTCAAGTGCTTTGATTGCGTGTGTTTGAAGTGTAGTATCATTCTCCATTGTTGGGGATTCCGCTTTCTCTATTTCCTTTAGACTGACCTCTTTCCGATTAGCTTCTTCATTCGTTCCATCAACGCTCTCAGAAACGAAGCCTGCAATTCAACAAAGAATCGTCAAATATACGTAAACATCTAGCTGAACTCGTTAATTAAAACGGCTTCAAAATGAACTGCACATACAGTTACATTATATATATCATAGCTTCATTTTGTTAGCAACACTTGATTTTGTTCCTGGCCCGTGAAAATCCTGATTTAGCTTAGTTTGTACCGCAGAGTATCAGGTCAAAACCAAAATAGTAACATCCGTGAAAAATTGCCGCCTGCGTCTTTATTCTCATATATTTTCTGTAAACGGCAACCTTCTGTTTTCCTCAAAAGGGCCAGCACAGACAGGCAATAATGCTGTAACAATGCAGCGGTGATAATAGCATATATACTCTGTGTTGATCTCTGGTGAAGGCAAAAGCGTACATATGTTGTAAATTATGGCTCTCTGCATAGATTCCTTTTCTTTATTATTTGTGAATCGCTATGTCTTCTTCGGAAAGATAGTGGGAAGTTTTCCGATGCTTTCTTCACCGTTTGAAATTCAAAGTAGTCCTTCTATACTGGCTGTCACCTGAGGCTAGAGAGGCCGGTTTACCCTGCTATTTAACCCATATCTGGGGGAAGAAAAAAATTATATTTATGACTTCTCCAAGAATATAAATGAACGTAATAGACTAGGCCAGAATTTTAACTCGGTTCGCCGAGCCCATTTTTCCGTACCGATAATTGTTACGCTACGGAAAATATGTTTAATGTTTTCAGCTAAAATTTTGCTCGTTGCTTCTAGATCTTGTTTATTTGATAAAATTAATATTGTTATTGTTAGCTTGGTTCTTAAAGTTCAAAGGTTGCCACCATAATTAAATGCGTATATGTTTTGGAGAATATGGGTTTATGGAAAAAAAGCTTTAAGATACAGTGTTTTTTTTCTACTTTGAGAGATTTGGTTGGTTGTTTTTGTTTAACAGCATATCAACCTCTGAGGGATTTAATACCGAAATCTAAATATTTTTTGTACGCAATTTTATTTTTATTTTTGAAGATAATAATGGTTAAGTGATACAAGGCTTACTAGTTAACCCATAGCTGGCGGGGAGAAGAGGTGGATTCCTACCTTTTCCAAGGGTATTTGTGCGTAAATGAATATAATGGATCCGACTGGAATTGGAACTCGGCTCTCCGATTAACAATTATCCATTACACCACCTGTACATCCAAGCTTACAGCACCTGATATTCCGAAACGATTACCCATCTAGTACTAACCAGGTTCGACGTTACTTAACTTCAGTGACCGTATGGGAACCGGTGTTTCAACGTGATGTGGCCGTAAGCCTTGCTTTAGGGGATTTGTCATAATCGTTAAAATGTGAATGGCTATGTTAATGGTGAGGAACTGAAGTGACATCCTCTCGACATTTTGGTTGACAGAAAAAGAGTAAATCTGATTGGTTGGAGAATACAGATTGAAGCCGTCATTGACTCATTGTAAAGAACCCAAACGCACTTCATTCAGATTTCTTTTGGATGAGGAGAGCCTTTGGCAATTAAGATTGTTGTTTTTTTATTCCAGCGTGTGCTTTATGTCAGTGTCTGATTTTATTTAAGTCGCTATGAGTTTGAATGCTGATTTTCTAATAATGCAATCTGGTCACCCCCACTTGGAAGTTTGATATAGCACAACCTTCATTGCCCGATGTCCTCTCCAAACCTGACTATGTGCCTTACTAAGGTAAGCATAGTAAATGTTTTATAAACAGACAAAAGTATGTTAAGTGAGGAAAATGTTGGATATAAAGAAAAAAAATTTAAAAGAAAAAAAACATCTTAATTTATTTTATATAAGTGTTTTGGCTACTTTTAGGAAAGTTAAGAATCTACTTCTCCCCACCCATCTATTGGTTAATTAGTAGGACTTGTATCAATAAATCCTTATTGCCTAAAAAAATACATTCTTACACTCTGAAAATATTATCAGGTTTTAAATAAATTTTGTTTTCCTTTTTTATGGAAGATCGTTAAAATTTATTCTCATTTGAAGCTAATTTTTTTGGTAGATGTTTACACCTTATTTTATACATTTCAAAATAAAAAAAAATAAAACTCTTAATCTATATAAAATCAAGTTTCAAACCAACCACTTGATTTTATTCCTTTCAGAAAAAAAAAGAGAGAGAAGAAAGAGAAAGATTACCTGGGGGTGCAGACGGAAGTCTATGATTGACCTTCATGGCTTCCTGATTATTTGACACAGGCATCAAACCTAGATCTTTCATTTGTGAAGGGCTATCCGGGTTGATCATCACGGCTGAATGCGTCCTTCGCAACTGGCGCGTACGGCCCTTCTGGTTCATAGCCCACGCCATTTCTTTTGGTCTGAGACCAATCACAACTTGGTAATGTTCCATCCAACCATCGATAATATGCCTACCAAATACCAGAAAATAAAATGAGAATAGTCAAAATCAAGATGGTATAGCGATAATATTTAAACATTCAGTTGCCTCCTAAAATCTAAATTATTCGTCATTAATCTAGTGAACTATAATAATTTTGTCATAGCCAGATTTATTTCTATTCAGGTATCACCGTCTTCTATCAATGTCTTGGTCTGAAAATCCCGGGTTTCAAAGAACCAAATATAACAATTTCTCACGTTCAAACTCTGTGCAAGTTTAGCGGTTGATATTGCGTTTAGTTCAAACAGATTCTGTGTTGAAGTAGGACAACAGAATGAAAGAAATTGAATATCGTCAATCATCTTTTTTAACCTGTTGTGGGAATCACGACTTTTGTTACGGAAATCATCACTTTCGTTACGGGAATCACCACTTTTATTACGGGGTGTTGACGTTTTTCCAGTAAATATTTAATGGTTCCTGGTACATTTGAACCGCAAACAGTATTGGCAGATTCATGTGAGTCCGGGCCAAAATAAGACACAAAAACATGGAATTTAAACAAACAAGTATTAATAAATATATTAAATGGTCATCTTACGAAAATGAAAATGAGAAATGAAGTTAAAGTTGTGAAAGACACAGAGGTATTCAAAATAATATAGTACTTAGAACATTCACTAGATGTATAGTAGTTAGTAAGCTAATCTGGTTAGCGATGTAGTAGTGATTTTAATCTATATGGAGTGCTTTACACTTTTAACTTTCAGCGATACTCAGCTTAGTATAGTAAATATCTACACAAAATATTGATAACTAGTTTACCTGTGCCATCAAAAACAACGTCAATTGTTAGAAAGTTTTAATATTAAGATGAAATGAATCAAACGTTTTGAAACAATGCATTGAGATTAAATAAAACAGAGATCCAGAATTTACAACTAAAATAGAGGACAATGAACTGATTAGTTAATCCGTTCCTTTATTATTAAATTTCTTAAAAATATTATTGTTATATAACGTTTATTATATAATAAATATAATAATTACATGTATTTCGTTATATTACATAACGAAGGTTCAGAATTCACAATTAAAGCAGAAGCCAACTGAAATGTTTACACAATTAGTTCTTTTATTACTACGTTTCTTGCAATAATATATTTTTAAAAATATTCTTTGAGTGTCTTTACTTTTGATATCAAACTTCCTAAGTAGAAAAAGTCTCAATCCATGCGTTGCAGCACTCAGAAGTCATTTCGGAACTCACAGCAGAATCTACTGAGGAACTGTTTAATGAATTCATTCCTTTATCACTACGTTTCTTTACAAGGTTTTACTTTGAAACTGCCTTGGTTTTTTTTTTAGTATCGATGCTTATTTTAAGATTGTTTTTATTTTGTTGTTCTACGATGTGCTACGTAGTTGTCCAGGATCAAACACTGGGGTTGGTAAATAGACACCAACATGAGTAAATGATTGACCTTGTAATCTGTTAACAGAATTACTTAAAGCATGACACGAAATATATAAATGAGTACACAACAGACATTATTATATAGTGTTGGGCATTAAAATAATTAAAGACAGTTACCGCTCGTAAATTTACTACCTTAAGTTGATTTACCTCTCTTCTCACTGTGGTGGGAAAAGAGGTAAATCAACTTAAGGTAACACGAAAGATAAAAATAATTATTACATAACGGAAATTATTATATAATGTTGATGACTAAACTACTTATATTTACTAAGGTAAATTAAATCATAAGTGGTTGCTAACTAACATCAAATGCCATTACTACTGCAGTGAGTTCGATTCTTACTAGTGGTTTTACGCCGTACTAATCTATTCCTCACTGACCAAATTTCTAAGACTGGGCTAACAAAACTGTATAAGCAAAATGTAAAGAAACATAAAATGGTGAAAATTAAACAGTAAATATCATATTTACCTTGCCTTTCGTTTTAGTTGAAGAAGAATCAGTTCTGTTGAGTGGCCAAATCTGACTTTCTCTGGCATTTCCAAAGACTTTCGGAATTCTTCTTTTTGGAGAGTTTCCTGTAGTGACACGATGAACGATGTGGTAACAATTGGAGTGTAACGATGCTAATAGGGCTGTAGCAGCCGGGGGTGGGGTCTTGGTTCTCCCAAAATTTTTACCAATTGTAGTATTTTTACAGGATTTTATTTTAACAAAATACAATAAAAAAAGAAAAACAAGAAAGAAAAACTATCAAAGCAAGGAAGAATATAACTCCCTTGAAAGAATTATTTTTAAAGGTATACGTGATTGCGTTTTCATTTTAATTTGAAGTTTTCGTCAGTCCAATCAAATAAAATAAAATATGAAAGTAAAAAAAAATCAAATTAAAACAAAACATTTGCTTTCCCTTAAAATCCTTATTTACCTTTCACTCTCTTTCTCTCTAAAATAAAAAGAGGAAGAGGACGAAAAAACTAACTCCAGATGAAAAACACCGGATATTGACGGTCAAGCGGCTAAATAATTTGTGGCAAAAACTTGCCGTTAACCACGTTGGCGGCCTTTGATAACTTAATGCTAAATTCTAAAATTTTTGCTAAAAAAAAATTGTCTCCGCTAAGAGACTGTAAGTAGATAGACGGGCACGGAATTTCTTTAGAAGTATTCGATGCTCCATGTAACAACAATAATATGAAAGTTTTTTTTTTTTTTTGCTTTAGCCAAGAAAATAACGGCCAGGAATGAATGCAAGCATTACTGATAGAATAGGGCTATTATATGTATAATGGAAATGCATTGCTAATGATTTTACTATAGGAATGCATTGAAAATCAGGAAGAAAGGGATTGTCAGTGGTCAGGAATGAATGAAAGCATTATTGATAGAATATGGCTATTATATGTATAATGTAAATGCATTGCAAATGATTTTACTATAAGAATGTATTGCAAAGCAGGAAGAAATGGATTGTCAGTGGTCAGGAATTAAAACAAGCATTACTGATAGAATAGGACTATTATATGCATATGTATTAGTCAGACCACCATCTGCTACAATGTGAAGTTAAGCTGAAACTTAAGAGTGTTGTCAAAGTGGAAAAGACTAAGCGTTATGCGGTAGAAAAGCTATTCCAAATCACACTCAGAAATAAATTCCAATAACTCCAAGATATTGAACCTGGTGTAGAAGAAAAGTGAACAGATTTCAAAGAAGCAATAACAAAATATGCAGAGAAGACCATTGGGAGAAGAAGAGGATTTTGCAGAGAAGAATGAATTAGAGAAGAAACGTGGAAATTAATTGATGAAAGATAGATGGCAAAGAATAAAAGGGAAAGTGGTAAAACAGAAGAGAAGGAAGAATGAAGCATGCCACATAAGAACATAGATCAACTACTTGTCAAAATAATTTGCCACAGAGATACGAAAGCCTGGATATCATGGAAATGAACTAAAGCACAAGAAGCAGTCAGTCGCAATGACGCGAAAAGCTGATATAGCATTGTGAAAGAATTGACTTGGGCAAAAAACAATACAGACAAATACCGTTAAAGACCAAAATGGAAAGGTGCTTGTGACAGCAGAAGAGCAAAAAGATCGCTGGATAGAACAAGTCAATGAAACATTGAATCAGCCATTTCCCAGCAGCTTTTTATGATTTTGATGAAATACATCTATAAGCATATCTCGAAGTAATAAAAGAACGTATCACTGTAAGAGAGAAGGACTATAAACCCCTAGACTGGACAGAATTGCAGCATAAATACTTAAGCATGGTGATGATAATCTGGTAACTAAACTGACAAAAAATTGATCAACGATTACTAGCAGAAAAAAGAATTCCACACAAGGTTTTAGAGAAAATACAAACAAAAAGGATATTTATTCTTAACATCAAGAACAGGTAGGTGAAATTTCTGGGGAACCTAATAAGGAAGGTGGGTTTGGAAAATCTGATACTCACAAGACAGATTGAGGGAAAGAGAGATAGGGGAAAACAGCGCGTAACATACTTGATGGCCTTGAGTAAATGGATGGTAAAACAGGTTTTAGAAGAAACAGCAAAAAGACAAAACTTATTAAGACCTACAAAGGACAGGAAGATGTTGAGGACCATGATCGCTTACTTCCTGAAGGGACACGGCACATAAAGAAGAAACCAAAGAAAGAGGACGTGTCCAATTGCAACAATTGGTGTGCCATAACATTTCTTTCAATCCCAGAAAAAGGTTGTTTTTTGGTACACTGTTACTGAACAGACTATATACGGAAGTAAATTCTGTATTGAGAGACGTTGAAACACCAGTTCTCTTACAATCCTTGACGTTAAGCAATGTCGAGCCTGGTCAATACCAAGATGAGCGACCGCTTGGGAATACCAGGTGCCGTAAGCTGGGATGTGCAGGAGGCGTAATGGATAACGTCTCGGAATTGAAAATCGGAAAGCCGAGTTCTAGTCGTTTTTTTTTATACTCACTTACGCGCAAGTACCCCTGGGAAAAGTATAAATCTCCCCCTTCTCCCCCAGCTATGTGTTAATTAGTAGGACTTGTATCAATAAATCATTATCATCTCGAAAATATTCTTAAAATCTAAAAATATTTTTGGCTTTAAATAACCTGCAAAAGGTTGATAAGCCGTAAAAACAAATCAATATCAATAAATCAATGTATTGAGAGAAGGACAAGCTAGTTTTCGCAGCGATCGCCCCTGCAAGGAACATATCTTCATCTTCAGAAATATTGAACAATGTATTGAGCATCAAAGACCACTGCGGCTTAACTTTATCGACTTCAGAAAAGCCTTTGATATTGTGTACAGAGAATCCCTCTGAAACACTATGCGATCATATGGTGTCCCACAGTGCTACGTGAACATCTTCAAGAGCCTATATACTAACACGTTTCGCTGTAATAACTGAGACTGGAATCACAGATTTCTTCAAAATCATAACGGGCGTACGAGAGGGTTGCATTCTATCGCCCTTGCTCTTCCGGATTATAATTGTCCTTGCATTGAAAAAGACAGCAATTGAACCTAACAGAAGAATATCTCCGAAAGAACAGACAAGACCAAAAGATCTAGACTTTGCTGACGACACTGTTGATGACCTGCATAGGCTCACCACAACTTTAGAATATAATGTTGGAAACTTGGGAACTGAGAAAACCCAAATAATATCTGTGATCAGCAACAAGGTTTCTATGGTTATCCAGGTAGACCAATTAAATGTCGAGGTTGTAGACAATCCCCTCTGGATAGCATAATGACAAATGATAGAAATGCGTAAGTGGATAATAACAGATGAATAGAAAAGGCAGCAACTCGCTTCCGAAGAATCCACTCGATTTCGTCATCAGCCTCTATTCGCACCAACATCAAGCTTAACATCTTGAACAGCACTGTGTTAACAACTGTAATCTATGCAAACGAAACATGGAAACATTCAGCCACCATTACAAAGAAACTGAATATTTTCCATCAAAGATACCTTAAAAAGATTTTGAAGATTAATTGGCAACACCGCATTACCAATGAATAGGTTTGGTGGAGGGCATAATCGGGTGCTCTTTCTTAAATTGTCACAGATAGACGAATGAAGCTAGCTGGACACCTTCTGCATATCCCCGCTGAACGGCACACAAAAACAGTCATGAGATGGATCCCACCTGAGAGAAAATGAAACAAAGAATAGTTGATGGTTCAAAGGCATTGAATATCAAATCGCATAATATTCAAAGAACAGCAACTGATCGAAGACACTGGAAAGAGCTTGATGCCCAATGAGCTCACCAACCAAAGACCTAAAAAGTAAAAAAAAAACTAAATGCTGGAGGAATTCATTGAAAATGAAGAGGAAAAGGATTGGCAGTAGTGAGAAATTAATGGAAACATCAGGGGGAAGTTATTGTTAGTGGTCAGGAATTAACACAAGCATTACTGATAGGACTTTTTATATGAATAATATAAGTGCACTGCTAATATTTTTAATTGTGGAAATCATTGAAAATGAATGAGAAAGGAGTTGTTAGTGGCCAGGAATGAATACAAACATTACTGATAGAATAATGGTATTACTATTATATGTATAATATAAATGTATTGCTAATGATTTTACCATTGAAAGGAACCGCCAAAAATTTACTACAGAAATATATTGAAATTTAGGATGAGCTGAATTGTTTATAGTAAGGAATTAAAGCAAGTTTTAATTGACAGAATAGGGCTATGATAGCATTTTAAATATTCCACTTATTATCGTTGTACGTCAGTGTAAAGGAGATAACTCTTATTATCTCTCTTGAACTATTGTTATTATATGTTACAGACGTTACATAGAAAAAAATTACAAATACTCTTTTCACGTTATATAATACAATTGTTAACAAACCTTATCTTGGGTGAGTTTTGCTTTGTGCTTGGAACTGTCTCCCTTGACTAATTCTTTGGCATATGAAGATAAAAATGGCCCTGATGTTTTTAATAATTTTTCTTTCTATAATTGAAAAATAGAAGGAAAGTAAGTAAATTCTTATAAAAGTGTGCCTGCAAATTTGCTAAAACTTTTTCTTAAATTATAATTTTTTTCAGAAATAAAAACATAAAATAAAACAAAAAATAGAAAATATTTTAACATTTATCAGTTTCCGCAAAAATTAATTTTATCAATAAAAAATGCAAACAATCCATATATAATTTACTGTTGTCTGGTTAACTCGTGTAACTGGTATAGGAAATAAATCCTATTTCCAAAATAATTACATAGCCACATACATACAACACGCCCAAACTTTATTTTCTACTCAATAACAGACAATATTTACAAATATGCCAAAATGATCCCACATGACAACACCCACTGTTTAAGCCAAAATGTGTATTGGTTAGAAACTAATATTACCATGCGAAATATTTGACCAATCAATTTGAGTATTTTTCTCGAGCCTACTTTCAAGAAAGATTTCTTATAAAACCCCACAGATTTCGAATTTCAGAGATTAGAGATGCGAAGAGAAGACGTGGCTACATAGCTTATTCTTCCTCCCACCCAGTGCATGCTGAAAGAAACATATGTCCGCCACTTAAAACGAATCATCTCCAACAGCACAGCAGAGATGGTCAATGAATCTTCCCTTATGATAAAAGTGTTTTTACTGTGGACCACAAACTGAAATCTTTTCTAAACTTCAGGTTTTTCTGTGTACCAACTACCCAATAACTTTAACCCAACTAAATACTATTTTTACTTCTTTTTGAGTCTTTTGAATTAATGTACATGTTTTTGTAAATATAAATTATTTATTTAATAGGTATACTTGTATTTTCTTTATTTTAATTTTATTATTGTTTGGAATTCGGATGTTAGGATTTTTTATGATAAAAAAAAACCTGGACGACTGAATTTCCTACACTGACATCATGGAAATGGATTAGTCCGATTGGAATATTGATGACCATTTTCCGTCACTATTCTCTTTTGGGAACCACGGTGTAGGGTTAACGAGTTAGTCTTTTTAAACATAGCTACTTAGCAGTAACTGCGATCCCCACTGAATGTTCCATACACATGGTCTTGTACCAGAACTAAGTTAAACTTAGCAAATAACAAAAAAAAGTGCTATTTTTTTTTACGAAATGCACCTGATGAGGACTGAAGAATTGATCATTTGAAACGTTGTGTTAACAACGGCAAGTATGCGAAGAAGGGGTTCAATTTTCTGGACAAGATTTAGCATGTTAATAACCCAAAGTTTTTGGTTTTTGGTTTTTTTTTTTTTTTATTATAAAAATGTTCACTCGGTACAAGGTCAAGGGACCATTCGTGGAGGAGGGTTACGTTAGGAGATACTTTGTACGGATAGGAAGGGAAGGTAACCGTTAACCCTAGACTTTAACAGGTTAAGATAGACAATACAACCAATTCGAGTCTCTCTCTCTTTCTCTCTGTTTTTCTCCATATCCTCTACGCACGAACGCTACCCACAAATATTCGTTTTGTTTTTATTCTGAGTGTGACATTTTTCTTTGTGCGTGTAACATTTTTCTCTGTGCGTGTAACATTGTAGCAAGAGTACTTCCACTTTTCGCTAAAAAACAGCGTAGCATGATGAAAAAACGCCCCAAATTTAATATGAACAAAGTTTTATCGTCAAAATGTTTATCATTAAGAGAAATAACCAGAGTATTTTTTATTATTTTTAAATATTTTTTACTGCTTTCAAAAACGTTCGAAATTTTTGTTAAAAATCTTTTTTTACTACGTGGAAATTGAAAACTTTAATACACCAAAGATTTTTCCATTTAAAATTATTAAGTTTAATCACACCAAAGATTTTTAAATTAAAAAAAAAAAAGGATTATGCTTAAATAAAATAAGTGTACAATTACCAAAACAATAATAAAATTTATGTACTTTAAAAATTTAATAAATAAAATAACTTTCATAACCATCAGGATATAACAATTAATAATAAAGAATAAAATGAAAAAATAAATCTTAAAAAAATATTAATTAATACTAAATACATAATTTTCAAATTACTCTATCATTGCATTTTATTATATTATCTCACTTACTGAATTAAAAACTTAATAACTGGGATAATATTATAATTAATATAATTATTATCTCAGTTATCAAATTGAAAATGTAATAACTGTAATAATAAATTGTTTATTCTATTATCTCAGTTATGAAATTAAATTATCATATTATCACAGTTATTAAATTTTTAATTTAATACCTGAGATAATTAATAAAATACCATTATAGAGATAAGTCAATAAATTAAGAAATTTTTATAGCATCTTCAAGCTCAAGTTTAAGTACCTAAAAAATTCAATAAACTATTAGATAATTGATTAAAATATTTTGTTTATTTTTTTAAAATTACCTGGTAGTTAAAAGACAAAAACAAACCGTTTTCACTTAGAATTTGTAAATTTATATCAACTCTGGTTCACCATATTTAACCTGTCAACACCTGAGGCCGTCAATATATCGATGGAGCCGTGAGAATAACAAGACCTCGAGGTGAAGAAATGTTTGTATACAACATTTTATGCTATAAGTAAATAATATTTGTTTCAGAATAAATTAATTTAACTTTAAATTTGCTATTTTTCCGCAAATATTTTATTTTTGCAAGATTTTTCAAACTGAGAATGAACTTTTGTTTACAACTATGTCAATATAGCCGTTTCGATTGGTTTTCTGAAAAAAAAATGAATCTACTAAAAATTATTCTAATTTCTATTTGAAATACACTACAGTATTTTGCTTTCTGGAATTAAAAAAAATAATCCTTTAACTTTCAATTAAAGCTAAAATGAAAGCTTCAAGAAAAAATTCTCATGAAAATTCATTTACACCTTAGGTATACCGAATTATT